ATAGCTAAAATGGTCATCTACAGTAACATCGGCAATACAATGGAAAAGTAACTCCAACCTTTCGTTTTCTGCTTATTACATAATTCAGATGGCCTCTCATTATGTTATTCCTAGGCCACGTACATTTCTCGATTTAGACTACAAGTGCGATGAGTAAAAAGTTTGCATTTAGCTTTCTTTACATTTACATTCTTCACAATTAAATAATGATTTCACATTTAACTTTGTTAACTCACCATATACTGTCTCATTACATTTACTATTATTGTTCACATGGAACTTCAAATCCCTCTATTGCCTTAATTACGACATGCTTATTATCGAATAACGATAATATCAAGAGCTCGTTATACTTCACATAAAAACGATATGTGTCCCATTAATATCTTGTTCCTGAATGGATCTTAAATGTTAAACACCTACAAATTAAATAGTACAAATAAATACATACGTAAATAATATTTCTACCGTCTCGTTGAAAAGTTTTGAGTTTCCCTATTTCACTATTTGAGTGTCTCATTTAAAAGTTCTCATTTCATTTTAGGAAATAATTTACTCTAGTTACACTTTTACTCAAATTTCTCTTTTCTATTCATTACATATCAAGTCTCACAATATATGTCCCCCAGGGCTGGTCCTGGGGCATGAGCAGGAGGGGTGTGCACTCAGGGCCCTTTGTTCCAGTAGGGCCCATAAATTTTTCAAACATATATGTGTGTTTACATAAATATTTTAATTATATATATATATATCCTAAATTTATAAATAATTAAAATAAAATCAAACTTATATTATTAGATACTTCTAATTTGTTATTTACCATCTACACGATACAAGTCTATTATTTAGAAACATCCACATTAGAATTCGTTTGGAACATATTTCACAATTTCTTTTGAATCATTACGGATTATTACATTAAATTTAATCTTTTAGTAACTTAGTGTACATGTCTTATGTATATCCAGAATTCATTGATGTATTTCACAAATTTCCTCCAATTCTCTCTTTAGTGAAAGATTGAACTTTAGTGTCCATAATTTAGAAACTTTGAATTTGTTTTTGTCTAGTGAAAATGTGATTTAAAATATGAAATAGTTACTCCTTATACAAGATATAACTTTCACAACTTTCTTTAATTCAAAATTTTTATTGTGACTTATATATAGCTGCAATACTTGTTTCACTCGACTGTTAGGTACATTGTATCATCGAATGTCACTTATCAATAGATTCAATACCCTCTATATATATATATTTTCTATCCATTTGCTTTGTTGGTTTTTTTGATGTGTTATATATACTAGTATTTTGACGATAATATTGTATAATTTTAAATTATACTAGTAGATTTTAATAGCAAAAAGAACATTATAAACATTCTCGCGCTATCCCTGAGGCCCAACCTATTTGTATTGTCCCGGGCCCATAAAATGTCAGGACCGGGCATGGTTCAGATTTCAGAACCAAAACATTGTTGAGTCACCACTAGGGGTGTAAACGAGCCGAGCCGAGCCCGAGCATGGGTATGCTTGAGCTTGAGCTTGATAAGAATTCACGAGCTCGAGCTCGATCTCGAGCTTGGACGAGTTACATATTTCGAGTTCGATCTCGAGCCGAGCTCAGCTCGAGCTGTATTCGAGCTTGATTCGAGCTCTGGTCAAGTTTCGCTAATTAATTTTTATAGATTTGAACTTGAATTAGATGCTCGAACTCGAGCTAAAAATATTATAGGTGTACTTTTTCATTCTCATTTTTAGGTTATTTCTTATTTACTAACATTTGTATTCTTATTTTATTGTCAATAAATATTAAGAGTACATATTATAATTATTACAGATTATGAGTATAATAATAATACTACACACATGTTATTATTTTTGTAATTATTACTATTATAATATACTCCATCTGTGATAAGTATTGAAATGGAATAGTCCTAAATTGGAATATATATTTCAAAGAGTGTATATATATATATAATTATTACATATATATTTATTATATACTCCCTCCGTCCCAATATAAAAGACACACTTTCCTTTTCGGTCTGTCCCAATATAAAAGGCACATTTCCCTTTTTGACAAACAAAACAGTGCAAAACAGTGCCAAACAGTGTCTAAACAGTGCCAAACAGTGTTCACCCTTAAAATGTCTAGAAACGCAAATGTGCCTTTTATATTGGGACGGAGGGAGTATAAAATATGACACAAAGGCTCGCGAACCGGCTCGCGAGCAACGAGCCTAAAATAAATAGGCTTGAATTGAGCTTGTTAACTATTCGAGTCGAGCCGAACTCGAGCCGAGCTTAATATGACCGAACTCGAGTCGAACTTTTCCCGAGCGATCCACGAGCGGCTTGGCTCATTTACACTTGCAAGCTGGGAAGCTTGGAATACTTTCATTGGCATCACTCCTATCAAATCGAAAAGGTTGTCGTTTATGGGAATCCTCACTCTTATTTTACTCTTAATAACATTCAACCCACAAAAAGATAAAGTTCATTTTTAATGGAATCTTGTTAAAAAGATTCATTCTCTAAAACCCTCTAAAACGCAATACGACGATTAAATTTGGGTATAGGGACGGTAGGGATCGGAGTATAGTCTTTATAAGAGCACTTTAGTGTATTCCAACTTCCAACATGTTTAAACACGCAAAGATGCATTTAAACTTACATCTAAGACCTGTAGCACCCTCACAATGTTCACTACCGGTGAAAGAGCAAATAAGGTTTAATTTCAACATTTGAAAAAAGTTAAAAGGTTTTATAGCCAAATATTTCAAAGAAACAATGAAACTTTGATCATTGGATAAAATACATTAATAAAGAAACCAAACATTTCTGAAAAATGAAATGAAAGGCTTTAGAGAAGAGAAGCTGCTATAGTCTATGTAGGGGTGGGCCCGGTCGATAGTTCCAGACCAGGTCCGACTTCGGTCCCGGGTCAAAACCAGGTACCCGACCGGGTAGAAGCGGTTACCGATCCCAAGTTCCAACATTTGGGACCGAATCGGGCGGTTCAAGTCCCGGTACGGATCAGTCCTAGACCGGCATGTTTTTAAGCATAAAAATCAAGTAAATAGACCAGAATGGGTCTGGGACCGGGACCGGACCGCCCAGGTACCCAGAATATAGCGGTTCGGTTCCGGACTTCTCGTTTCACATACCTGGACCGGCTAGTCCGGGACCGGTCCATGCTTAATTCTATTATCATACATATATTGATAATAGAATTCTTCACATCATTTGGACGGTGCTAATGGCTTAGTTGTTGACTCCAAGTTGACTTAATATACAGATACAAATTCATTTCTCATTGAACTCCAAAATTAGTACCCTGATATATAAGAGAAAAAACTAATTATTTAAATAGGACCTTGATTGGTATACGTGAGAGTATGAGATGAATACATTTTAGAAAACTTGAAAGGAACATCTAACATAATACGGAGTATAATTTTACTTAAATGGCATATTGTGGTGGCCTTGAGGAAAAAAAATCAAACATGAACATTTGCAGAGATTTGTCATGCTTATTGTCCATCATAACATCACAATTAAAGAGAATCACAGTTAAAGAGAAAGCAAAGACGATCACGCCTGCAATAATTTGACTGCTACAAATACATATTAGGCTTCTTTATTAACTTATAGATTAGCACAATTGTGTGATATTTATCTCATAAGTCATAACTTATAATGAGGCAGGGTTTTATTCACCAAATTAATTTTTGTCCTTGATTAGAACCAATCCATAATCCATTAAGAACGTACGTAGTAGCTTGGGTTTGTCTTACAAACTCAACTCATGAGAAAGTTGATAGGAACAAAAGTTCAGGAAGCAATTACAAACATCCCACCAGCACTGCCATGGGTAAAAAAAATTAAAAAGAACTTGTGTTGTGTTATACTATTCTACTTCTTTGCCATTGTAGGGATACAAATTGTGGTGAATAGTACTGTGCTATAATGCTTTTACGTATTAAGGTATTATACAATGGGTAAATTTTGGATCAGGGGCATAAAAGGAGGGAAGTCAAAACTATAGACTAGTAACCTATACTCCGTACTTTTCATCTTCTGCACTTCTGCCATCGTTTAATTCATGAAATTTACTAAGCGAATTTAATAATGGAGCAGCAATGTTATTAACTCGAGGCATTATCTATGTTTTATAAAGATAACATTTAGGTGCTCAAAAGTATCCTTTTTAAGATTTGATCTTCTAACTTACACATAGCAGGAGCATATAAAAGGGGAGTATCGCTACTCTAGGAAGCACGGAAACTCTCCATGGCTCACGTTTCCACGTTTCGAAAACTCGAAAGCATTTCGGAAACTCGGAAACTTCAAATTCCCGTTTCGGGGCCGTTTCCGTAATTAAGAAAAATTTGGAAACCCGTTTCACTACGTTTCGGAAATCTCGGATTCCAATTTTTTTTCTTTTTCAAAAGATTCTGTGGCGGAAAATTATTTTTTTATAGTGAATTTTTGTGGTATTTTGCAGCAACAACACTTGTTACATTTCGTAACGCAATGTATTGCTAGAAATGTATTACTCCGTACATTTTATGTTTAATTATGTACTAATATGAAATATTATCTAAATTTGAACATGTAGAGTGATTTTATTATTTGGTTGCTAAACAAATTATATTAAAAAAACATGTGCATATGGAAAAACTTATGTACATATATTAAAAAATATTTATAAATATATCCTTATATTTTATAATATTTACGCGTTTGCCCCACGTTTCGTGTCCTATATTTTTTTAGAAATTATGTTTCTCGCGTTTCCCGTTTCACGTTTCCTGTTTCCATGCTACTTAGTCGCTACTCAACCCCTTACATGTAAGGGAAACAGGCACAAATTAAGCAAACTTCTTAATGGAACAACATTATTATTACTTGAGAAATTATCAATAACCAAACATAATTTTACGGTAGCAAACAGGTTTAAAAGGTAAATAGAGAAGCAAGGGAGCGTAAAAAAATCTAAAATCAAATTTAGATCATATAACTTAATTGAGCAGGAATGGAATGCCGTTAGAACAAATTATCAAGGGATATGGTCTGAGAAGACTCACTTTGGGATTTTGCAAGAAATGCACCATTGGCAAGAATCCCATTACACACAAATTATCAAATTACTGTTAAATCCTTGCATAAATGGATGTATGAGTAAGTCTATAGGGCACGGATATACCGATAATTTTATAAAGATGGTGTACACCATGATGACCATGTAGCATTAGTCATTTATTTCCTCCTATGTCTCTCCCCCATGGGGATCACCAACCATAACTTCCATCTATAGAGAATAATATAAGAGAAATGCTTGGTACACTCATGATTATGCATCTTCCGGAGGTGGGAAGAAACACGGTGTGACTTCCGCACCGCACCATTGGTGGACTTCCTTTATTCTATCAGCTGACCTGCATATCCCGCTGCAGTTCCAATCAAATGAGACAACAGAGATGTTGCCTGCATGTGCTGTCAATTAATAATCTGCTCCAAAATGGTGTGGTGAAAGTGTGAAACTATGAAGATAATTAATAAATACATAAAGTTGTGGCATAGTAAAGTCTTATTATTAAGACTTTAATATCAATTCTAAATGATAAAACTGTGAAACTGACAGCAGGAGCAGTCCAAGATCATATATAATTATTGGTTCATGTTTTGCCATGTTTCTGATGTGTGATTACATAAGTCCATAACATAGAGAAGTTTTACCAGGTAGAGTTCCACAGCATAATCTTCTACCATCAGTGTGGTGCACATCGAGCCCAATAAACCAAGACCCCAATGAAACATCTTCATTAGCATATTTGTGGAGGACATGTCTATCCAACATTTAAAAAGAGTTATTGTCCTGCTTTGCACAAATAAAAGGTAGGCAAAAACCTATAATTGTTCATATCATTATAATGATAAGTAAATAAAAAGACCTTAACTGGTTAAGTGATACTTCGTATATGAGTAGCTAAGTCCTTTGAGATGGCATATAATTTTCCAATGGCATGACAGAAATATCTGTTTCCATTCTGCCCAAATGTCCAATACTCAGGTTCATGGTACTTCACTCACCCTTTCCATAAAAATTTAGTGAGATCTTATTCAAGATTTCAAGCTAATTGTATTTCTACTTTTCATTTTCATTAAATTTAGTTTATCTGCCTAGGGTGTGTACCCGCAACTTTGTGACCATTAGAGTTCAGATGTATCATCAGATTTCAGAGTAGAGTAATAGTACTATGAGTAATTGTGTGATAAACTGATAACTCTAGGGTCATTGTTAAGTCAAGGACTCAAGGCATAGGACTGATGCAATAAGGGAAGTACTTCCATGCTACATCCTTTGCAGGACAAATGTCCACAAAAACTAAGTTCCTTTTTAGGAGTTATATACCACAAAGAAAGTGTAAAACTGTATAGTTAGATTAATTTGTAGATAAATACTTAGTCTTATCTGATGTAAATCTCACACGTATGAGATAAAGATAGTTAGGTAGTCAGATCCTAATTTTTAGGATCTCATCATTTAGTTTGTTAGACTTGTATCCTATATATATTGTACCCGGGTGATGGAATAAATTAAGTCATTCTATTCTCTCAAACTTACATGGTATCAGAGCGGGCTGTTTAAACACCACAATGGTGGAAACCGAGCACTCTGGTTCTTCCCCTCACTCACAAACCCTTCACCCTAACTCCCAAATTAGCCAAATGACAAACTATCAGGCCTCGATTAATTCATCTATGCTCATTACTGGACATAGATTGAATGGAACTAATTATCTAGAATGGTCACAGTCTGTCAAGCTGGCAATTGATGGAAGAGGAAAGCTGGGATACATAACGGGTGAGATAGCAGAGAAGAAAAGTGGTGATGATGGCTACAGTGTCTGGAGGTCAGAAAACTCTTTGGTAACAGCCTGGCTTCTCAGTTCAATGGATGCATCAATCGCCAAACCTCACATGTTCATGAAAACTGCAAAAGAGGTATGGGATTCCATCAAAGAAACCTATTCAGATCTTGAGAACTCTTCTCAAATTTATGAATTAAAAACAAAGCTGTGGCAGTCTAAACAAGGCAGTAGAGATGTCATCTCATACTATAATGAGATGGTATCCCTATGGCAAGAGTTAGACCAATGCTATGATGCTGAAGAATGGGAAAGTGCCAAGGATCTGGCAAGACACAAAAAGAGGGAAGAAAATGATAGGGTCTATATGTTCCTAGCAGGAATTAATAGAGACCTGGATGAAGTTAAGGGAAGAATACTTGGAAAAAAACCTCTACCTTCAATCAGGGAGGTATTTTCTGAAATCAGGGTGGAAGATAGTAGGAAAAAGGTCATGAATAACACTTCAGTCCATCATGATGATCCAGGAGAGTCCTCAGCAATGATTGCCAAAGGAAATGAGAAGAAAAAGCCTTGGTGTGATCATTGCAAGAAACTGTGGCATACTAGGGAGACTTGTTGGAAGATTCATGGCAAACCACCTGGAGCAGGACAGAAAAAAGTTGAAAGGGCCCTACATACTGCCATACCTGAAACTGATCAAGAGCAACAAGTCAATTTCAAGCAGCCAATTTTCACCAAGGAGCAGATAGAGCAGCTCCTACAACTTCTTAATTCCCAAAAGAACCCTAAATCAGAAAACCCTTCTTGTTCTTTTGCTCAGAATGGTAAAATTGCATCATTTTTCTGTTCTGGAAAACCAAATGCCACCTGGGTCATTGACTCAGGTGCAACAGACCACATGACCTCCATTTCAAATCTATACTCTTCTTATAAACCTTGTGCAGGGGATAAGAAAATAAAAGTTGCAGATGGCTCTCTTTCAGCCATTGCAGGAACTGGAAATATTAAAGTTTCCACTTCTATTGACCTTTCTAAAGTCTTACATGTCCCAAATCTATCCTGTAATCTTGTTTCTGTTAGCAAATTAACCAAAGATCTTCAATGTTGTGTTAAATTCTATCCTTCCTATTGCATTTTTCAGGATCTGGCATCGGGGAAGATGATTGGCAGTGCTAGGGAAGAAGATGGACTCTATATATTTGATAAAGGGACTGAATCAAATAAACAAGGTCAAAGAACTACTTGTCTGCAAACTATTACGTTTCCCAGTGATAAGGAGTTGTATTTAATTCATTATAGACTAGGTCATCCTAGTTTCCATTATTTAAAAAAGTTGTTTCCTCAATTATTTCATAATAAAAATGTTTCACAGTTTCATTGTGATATGTGTACACTTGCAAAGCATCATAAAAATTCTTATCTTCCCCACAGTTACAAACCTACCAGCCCTTTTACTCTTCTGCATAGTGATATTTGGGGAGCATCTAGAATCCCTACTTTAAAAGGAAAGAGATGGTTTGTAACAATTATTGATGATCATACAAGAATGACATGGGTATTTTTGATCAAAGAAAAATCAGAAGTAGAAAATGTATTTAAGCAGTTTTATGCAATGGTCCAAACTCAATTCAATACCAATATAAAAATGGTAAGAAGTGATAATGGTCGTGAATACTTTTCTACAAACCTAAATCATTTTTTTGCTGAAAAAGGAATAATTCATCAAAGTTCTTGCATTAATACTCCTGCTCAGAATGGAATTGCTGAGAGAAAAAATAGGCATTTACTTGAAGTTACACGTGCAATCATGTTTTCAATGAAAGTTCCAAAATATTTATGGGGAGATGCTGTTTTACATGCTACCTATTTAATAAATAGGATGCCATCAAAAGTTTTAGGGTTCAAAACTCCAATTAGTATTCTGCAAGAATGTTACCCTACTACTAGATTGATTAGCACTCTTCCTTTAAAAATCTTTGGTTGCACTGTTTTTATTAAAAATCCAGACAAAACAGCAAGTAAATTTGATCCTAGAGGAACTAAGTGTGTCTTTTTAGGTATTTCATCCACACAGAAAGGGTATAAGTGCTTTGATCCTTCAACAAAAAAGATGTTTATTTCAATGGACACTGTTTTTGTTGAAAATCAAGTGTTTTTTGATACTCATCTTCAGGGGGAGAGTTTTAATGAAGATGCTACCAATGTGTCACATATTCATGACAATCTTGATTTTCTTGACATTAATCTAGATATGCATTCTATTAGAAACTTAGATGCATTAGAAAATGGTCAAGCATCAAAAAATAATGAAATGAATACAACTGATAAACTGGGAGGTGAAGAATTGCAGATCAGTAAGTTCTTTGGCAAGGTTTATGAGAGAAAGGTTCCAAATCAAAGAGAAGAGGAAGTCTTTGAACCTACATCTGTTAATGAATCTGACCAGATGTCAGTAAATGAAAAAGGTAATGACTCAACTGATCTTGATTTACCTATAGCTCTCAGAAAAGAAAGAAGGTCATGTGTCAAATATCCTATCTCAAACCATGTTTCTTATTCTAGATTATCCTCTACATTTGCAACCTTTTCTTCTATTGTCTCCTCTGTTTCTATCCCATCAACCATACAGGAAGCTCTATCTAAACCTGAGTGGAAAAAGGCTGTTTTGGAAGAGATGGATGCTCTTGAAAAGAATCAGACATGGAAGGTTGTAGAGCTACCTAAAGACAAGCCCACAGTTGGATGTAGATGGATTTTCACTCCTAAGTTCAAGGCAGATGGCACTCTTGAGAGGTATAAGGCAAGGTTAGTTGCCAAAGGTTATACACAAACCTATGGCATAGATTACACCGAGACCTTTGCTCCAGTTGCAAAGCTGAATACTATCAGAATTCTTCTATCCCTGGCTGCAAATTTAGATTGGCCTCTTCAACAGTTGGATGTGAAGAATGCTTTTTTAAATGGAAAACTTGAGGAGGAAGTTTACATGAATCCTCCTCCTGGGTTTGAAAACAAGTTTGGTTCAAGAGTATGTAAGCTAGAAAGATCCCTGTATGGACTCAAACAGTCCCCAAGGGCTTGGTTTGATAGGTTCACACAGTTTGTTAAAAAACAGGGATATAAACAGGCCCAAGCTGACCATACTCTATTTATAAAATGTTCAAGTAAGGGGGAGATTGCTATATTAATTGTCTATGTAGATGATATTATCATTACAGGAGACTTTCATGAAGAAACACAAAGCCTGAAGAAAAAACTTGCTGCTGAATTTGAAGTCAAAGATCTGGGAGATTTGAAATACTTTCTTGGCATGGAAATAGCTAGATCAAAAGAGGGAATAATTGTATCTCAAAGGAAGTATGTTTTAGATCTTCTTCAAGAAACAGGGATGAGTGCATGTAAACCAGCTGACACTCCTATAGACTCAAACCAGAAGTTAGGAGATGTCAGAGATGGGGTTCCAGTCAATGTGCAACAATATCAGAGATTGGTAGGAAGACTTATATACTTAGCACATACCAGACCTGATATTGCTTTTGCAGTTAGCATGGTAAGTCAGTTTATGCATTGTCCATATAAAGAACATCTTGAGGCAGCCTACAGAATTCTTAGGTATTTGAAAAGTTGTCCTGGAAAAGGTTTGTTTTTCAAAAAGAACCATAGTAGGGCAGTAGAGGCCTTCACAGATGCTGATTATGCAGGATCAGTAAGTGATAGAAGATCTACTTCAGGGTACTGCACTTATGTATGGGGAAATCTAGTGACTTGGAGAAGTAAGAAGCAGAATGTGGTAGCTAGAAGCAGTGCAGAGGCAGAATTCAGATCAATGGCCAATGGTATATGTGAACTTCTTTGGATCAAGAGGGTGATCAAAGAACTGAATATGGAATTGGAGTTACCTATGAGACTATATTGTGACAACAAGGCAGCTATTAGCATTGCACACAATCCAGTCCTACATGACAGAACAAAACACATTGAAGTGGATAGACACTTTATCAAAGAGAAAATCGAAGCTGGAATTGTGTGTACACCATTTGTGCCTACCAGGGATCAAACTGCTGATATTCTAACAAAAGGATTGTTCAAACCAGTGTTTGAAAAACTAGTAAGCAAGTTGGGAATGTATGATATATATTCACCAACTTGAGGGGGAGTGTAAAACTGTATAGTTAGATTAATTTGTAGATAAATACTTAGTCTTATCTGATGTAAATCTCACACGTATGAGATAAAGATAGTTAGGTAGTCAGATCCTAATTTTTAGGATCTCATCATTTAGTTTGTTAGACTTGTATCCTATATATATTGTACCCGGGTGATGGAATAAATTAAGTCATTCTATTCTCTCAAACTTACAGAAAGGAATTATGTTATTTAGAAAAATTTAAACTAAGTTATATACCTTGACATCCGACCCCCTTACCCCACCGTAGGTGGGAGCCTTTGCGGCACTGGGGTAATGATGATGATGAGAAAAATTTACTACTTATTACTCTTATCTAAGGCAATTCCTCTGAAGTCTAAACCCAACAATGGGTTAAAAAAGGGTGGGTCTAACTCAATTTTTCGAAAAATATGTAAATGGCAGTTCACTTACTTTTGAGAAAGAGCAGGACCGGATTTCATGCAGCCAATATACACTCGTGGTTTCTTCTGATGCCTGGCTAGCGTTTCCCCTAATGTTCCTGTAGCCGTTGAATTCCCCATAACAGTGATCATATTTTACTAAGGAAAGAAAAGGTTGCACAATTAATCTAAAGACAATTGAATACTTTTATTTACATGGACATCATCATCAACTTTGATGTAGTACTATGCACCCCATAACTTAACAGCAGTGGAAAAATAAGTCTTTGTATTTGCAGACAACTCAAGATACCCATCCACATGATCCTAATTCCTAATTAAACAGACACACATGGAAATGATGAGGAAACATTTATAAGCATAGCATGATGGCATGTGTGACATACTGACATTGGTTGAAAAACGTTAGTTCTTTTCAATACTTAGTTAGGGAAAACCTGTGCGCTTAGCTTTTTACTACGACCGCTTGTTGCCTCTTTCGGAAAACTTTAACTCCAAATCCTTTATCTTGAAATTGAGAATAGAGAAAGCATATTAAAATTAAGTTTAATGAAAATAGAAAGAATAATTGAAAATCTGAAACAGAAAGATGATTGAAATGCAGCACATTTAGTATGAACAATACATTATAATTCAACTGTGAGTGAAAATCAACAAACATGAAACTAAATTTATAAACCTTAGAGATTATTTGCCAACTTATTACCAATGTAAAAAAAGTATTAAGTCAGATTAACAATGATCCAGCCTATCAATTACACTAATAGATTATTTCCAGCCTTCCATTGTTTTAGGGGAAAATGGGGAGATAATTTATGTGACATTGATCAGACTTCATGTTTGCCTGGCTTAAATTGTTTTAAAACATGGATACCTTCAAGGACAATGTAATCAAAGTATACTTGCAGAATCTTTGGTGTGATAAAAAGTAAAAACATCCGTAAAACTTAACAAATGGCAACATCTTAGCCTTACACATCTGTTTTGATCAAAGAAAAGTAACTGGAATCACTTTCCTTCTAAGGTAAGTAATTGTCTACAAAGGTAATTTCTAGAATACTTTTTTAGGATAGTGCGAAACCAAAATTTTCAATCAGAGACTAAGATGATTCATACAAATGCCATACACTTTATCTGATTTCTCTATGATATATACTTGTTAACTGTTGCAAATACAAATAAAATATGGAGGTTGAGTTGTCAACAGCCATAGAAGTTCTTGCTTAAAATGTGGTTTGTGAGTGAAATAAATGTATGATTCATCCTATCTGCTCATACCATCCCCATTCTTAAATAAATTCATCCAACCATGAGATCTTGTGTAGTACCCAGAAAAACCTAAAAGCTCTTCTTGCCAATAATAGTATAATATCTTATCTGAAATAAGTTCTTCACATTACCTAGGTCATGCTTTGCTGGAAATGAGCTTAGAAAAAATAAAAACAAAAACATTTAACGCAGAAGCAGATTACCAGTGGGAGATTGTATGATCAATCAGCTAATCTGGTGGCTTTGCACGACATTAGGCCACTGCAAGGTTGCAAGAGATTGTATTATATCTTGTCTTGATATAAACATATATAATAGATAATGCATATTACAATATTGTCTACCAATAACCAAGATGCTGGGAAGATAATTCTGCATCCCAATATCACATATTGTTGCTGCTGCTCGACTTTATCCAGTCTCTCATTGCTCGTATTTCGTAAAAGCAGAGCTGATGAGTGATGATACTAATCTGGCCAAAGATCCTTTCACTGCTTCACATATGTTTCAAAACAAACCAGAGTTAATTTAGAGTATTAAATGTCCCAAGTTAACTTACAGAAAGAAATAGTTTTTTTCTTTCCTATCTACTAATGATATGTGTACTCGCTACTACAGCGCTTTGGCATTTTCGCATAACGCCATATTTTGTTCTCTACTTTTTTCCCTGTTTTTTTTTTGTTTAAATATGTATCGTTTTACTTTCAGGGTTTAGACAACATGTATATCATTGATCTGCCTCCCAAATTACATGAAAAAATCATGAAAACAAATATTATGAAAAACAGATGCAAATTATCAATTTCTATTAAAGTACATAGATCAACAAATAAACTTCACATCCAATTGGCCATTTTTAAAAAAAATACTAAAATCTAAGATTTATTCAAGAAGATGAAATACCTGACGGAAAAAAAATCAATCTAGAACTCAAATTTCCTCAACAGGCAAACTTCTGTTCAATCGAAATAGTCTTTGATCTTATACTGCTAAAAAAACAGCATAGTTCTCAAATTTCAATGTGACAGAAGTGTGTTATCAGCCTCAACAAAAGTGTGTGTATCTTCAGACAAGATTTTTCACCTCTATGATTCTATCTTATATTATTATGTAGTTTGCTAGTGCCTTGTTCAAAGAAGACTTGATTTTGAGAAAATCGAAATTAAGGATTCACCATTCATATGGGATGATTCATCCTATTTCAAGACAAGGTGATCAACCAACATGTAGACAAACTACATCCATCATCTGTGCAGTTAAACTCTTCAATGCATTTCGAATTGCCGCTTTTTGTGCTCTTGAGTCATCGTCATCAGCATGAAACACGACTAAATGATTTTTATCTTCAATCCAGCTACATCCTGGTTGTTTCTCTCCTCTATTATCTATCATTGTTTCCCTAACTCTTTCTACTTCATTCCATCTCCCTATCTCAGCATACATGTTTGCAACAGTTACCAAATTTGAGGATTTATGGGGTTCAATTTCATTGAGCTTCTTAGAAGAAAAGCTAGCAAGCTGCACATTGTTATGCATTCTACAAGCCCACTGCAGAGAGCCCCATATTGCTGGGGTGACTTTCACTTTCATCTTTGTAACCAAATGAAATGCTTCTTCTAATCTGCCTGCTCGGCCAAGTAAGTGAAGTATACACCCATAGTGTTCAGTCACTGGCTCGATAGAGTACTTTTTACTCAGGGATTCAATTAAATTTAGACCAAGATCAACTAAGCCAGCATGAGTACATGCAGACAGAACTCCAACAAATGTTACTTCATCTGGATTTATCCCCTTTCCTTCCATTTCCTGGAACAGTTTGACTGCCTCTTTACCATGTCCATTTAAGGCATAACCGGCAATCAAAGAATTCCAAGACACAACATCTGCGTCATCAAGATCACAAAATACCTTTTTGGCATTAATGATTTGTCCACATTTTGCATACATAGTGATTAAGGCATTAGAAATAGATAAATATTTTGCAAACCCGCCTCTCATAATTGCTTGGTGAAGTTGCCCCCCAGCATATTCAAGAGCAAGATTGGCACATGAACGTAATACAGAAGCAAATGTAGATTGATCAGGCTTCTTTCCGTCACGTGCCATTGAAACAAAAAACTTTAGAGCATCTACATAAAAACCACTTTGTGTACACCCTGAAATTAGAGAGTTCCAAGAAACTGCATTCCTTTCCTTTATGCTCTCTAGCATATCAAAAGCTTTTTCTATTTTTCCTACTTGAGCATACCCAGCAATCAAGGTGTTCCAAATAACTATACTTTTTTTATCCATCTTTTTATATAGATAGAAAGCCTCATCCATCTTCCCAGATTGAGCATAACCCGCAACCATGGTGTTCCAACAAGCAATGTCACGAGAGCCCATCTGATCAAAGATTTTACGACCATCATCTATCATATTATGTTGTATATATCCTGAAATCATTGCGGTTTGTGCAACCACATTTTTGTATGGCATTGTATCTAACAAGGTCTTTGCCTGCTCAAGCTTTCCTATGCGCGCAAGACCACTAATCATGGTAGTATAAGAAACATCATTTCTTTCTGTCATTTCATTAAACATATTGCCAGCATCACCAATGTGGCCATTTTGGACATATACAGCCAACATTGCATTCCTTGCAACCAAATTCTTTCCGGTCATTTGATCAAATACCCTCCGAGCTTGCAATATATAACCATAATGCCCATATCCACTCAACATCGTGACCCAAGAAACAACATTTCGACAAGGAATCTTCTCAAAGAACTCCCAAGCGGAGTCCAAGTCACCCGCCTCAACGAATCCAGACACCACCAGGTTCCATGAAACAATATCTTTTTCATCCATCTCATTAAAAAACTTCAGTCCAAGTTCCATTTCCCCATTCTGCGTATAACCCAAAAGCATCGAGTTCCAAGACACTAAATTTCTAACAGGCATCCTATCAAACAATATCCTAGCTTCACTAAACCTACCGTTTTTCACATAACCTGTAATCATTGCATTACAACAAGCAACATCGGTCATATCAGAAAGTAAATCAAATGTTTCTCGTGCCTTATCAATCGATCCATAACGCGAATAGCAGGTAATCATCAATGCATATGTGAAACAGTCCCGTTCAGGCATTTCCTTGAACAGATTGCAAGCATAATCAATCTGGTCATTGTATATGTAGCCACTGATTAATGTGTTCCAAGAAACCAAGTTCCTATTCGGCATTTTATCAAACAGAAGACGTGCGTGTTCTGTTCTGCCATTTTTTGCATAGGAAGAGATCATGGAGTTGTAGGTGACAGTGTTAGGGTGTGTTATTTTCCTGAACACTCTAATGGCCTCTTCGATTTGGCCCCTTTTCCCCAATGAAATTATTTTTTTATTTAGCTGGACAATGTTGCTTCTTCTACGTACGGTTGACTGCATCTTACTATATACAAAAAGGAGGTATAATTAATCTTCCAGCCCAAGAACATAGGTGGTCATCCTGGTGAAATGGGTCAAACATATAAGACCTGAAATAAATAAATGAAGTGCCTTTAGAGTTAAAATGAGGTGTTCAAAAGTCAATTATTTTCATCACGAGTATGAGTATCTTACATCATTAAGATGAGACAGCATGAAAACAATAAATGGCTGCTACATCATTAAATTGCTTGGGATGTTTTTCAGTGTTTCCCCCGAGTAGTAATGATCAGAAAAAACATGCAATGAATAATGCATCAAGCATTTTCCAAGACGAATCATAAATGAAGAGGTCCAATGATATTCAGGCCTGTTGCAATTAAAGGCGAATCTTATTTTACGCCATAAGAAAGCTAACGCCTTTTAGACTGAGGCGTACGATATAAGGCGTGTGATACAAACCGCAGAAATTTGCACCTATTTTAAGTCCTTCAGACGTCCCTGACTTATCTTTTGTAGAAAGTCCATGGTTTGAACTTCTATTGCTATTATTACTACTACTTGTTGATAGGCACCGGGCCGTTTAGTGCTAATAATAATAAGTGTTAATATTAATAATTGTAAGGGAGTATAAATAAAAGCTAAGGGGGTAATAAGGGGTAGCCGGGTAGGCAGAAATTACTTGAGACTGGGAACTGGGAGTGTGAGACTACTCAAAGCGTCTCACTTGTATTTTCCATTTCTATTCTTCTCTTTCTTGTACGTTCGGCTACCTTCTGCCATTGTATTTGCTTCAAGGATTCAGAGCTTCTCTGTTTTTACCTACTTAATATACATAAACTGCCTAGACTTTATCACTTGTTAAAATCTCATACTTAAACTTTGGGTATAAAACTCATTTTGTTCATTTTGGGTGAAATTGTTTGATTTTCTACAGGTTTGTTTGGATGTAATTTCACAAACAAATCATAAAACTTTACTTCACAGTAACCTTATATTAATATAACCGCTATATGATTAAGATTTGATGATTTTGATTCGAATTAACATAATGATGGGTGTAAATTTAGATAAATTGTTAATTTTATTTGAGTCTACATACATCTAGTAAATTCTCTAAAGGTATACCTCTAATGAAAGATTAGAATGGTGTATCATACAGGGACAGAAGGCTGAAGGCACTGATGGGATGAGTTCCTTCAGAGACAACGAATAAACATATTTCTTTTCTATCAACTTAAATATACGGGTTTATAGTCTAAATCTAAAAAGTGAAAATCAAAGTTCATCGGAGCAAAACAACTCATGAATTCAAGCTTCAAATTAGTGATAATGTCAAAGAAAGAGGCTAAGGAAAATGAATTGATATTTGATATGCATGCTAAGCTTCAAGGCTTACTTGCTTGTTAAAGAACAGAGACGCTGGTTCTCAGCGGAAAACCCTCCGGCCTCCGCCGCCCCCCTCCGCCCTGAATGGACTGACACTTCGTCCGCCTTCTCGAGTGGGTTCCAAATATCCTTCTTGCGTCTTGACTTTTGATACGCCGCAGGTAACATCCTTAGGTGTCTCTAGGATTATTACACTAAGCATTTTAGAAGTTCATACACTAAAGATGTTTTGTTTTGGACTGTTTTCAGTCCCAGACCAGACCAGACTTAAACAGACCAGACCAGACCAGACTTAAGCAGATCAGACCAGACCAGACTTAAACAGACCAGACCAGACCAGACTTCCGTAGTTATAAAATACACAGAGACCAGACGTTTACCAGACCAGACCAGACCAGTTCAGACCAGACCAGACCAGACCAGACCAGACTTAAATAGACCAGACCAGACCAAACCAGACTTAAACAGACCAGACCAGACCAGCAAATTTCAGTCCAAAAGAAAACATCCTAATTTACATTATTATGAATTGCACTTGTAAATCAACAAAAATAGAGGTGTACAAATTGTGTATAACAAAATGGTGTGCGAATAGATAATTCCATTATATTCTACAACCTTCTGTTAACCGATAGGAGAGCTTCTGTCACAGAGGGGCTGTGTAACAGAAGTCCTTTCCTGCAGATGTTCTGTTAGAGAGGGGTTCTGCAACAGAGAGTCTATCAATAGAACATCTTCCCTTTAATGATCTCTGGGTATGTCATCCATCATCCATCAACGAAAATCGGTACTCTGGGTATGTCATCCATCATTCCAAGTTCTTCGGTTGATTTGGCTGATTTTGCTGAAATTTATGAAATTCTGGATGAAGTGGCTGTTTTCAGAAAAAAAAAATATTTTAAAATATATTTTATTAATAAAACAAAGAAAAAATTACATGTAAAATAGCTAAAATGGTCATCTACAGTAATTTCAGCCAATACAGCCAGAAAAGTGACTCTAATCTTACATTTTCTGCTTATTACACAATTCAACGCACAAAATCAACAATTACGTGTTTGGTGAAAAAATTGGCTGATAAGTCTGATTTTAACCTGAAAAACAGTGTTGCCAAATGAATAGGTTACAGTTGTCAGCTAAATTCCATTTTTTTGTTTAATGTTTGTTTAGGCTCATAATTACTTTTTGCCACGAATTTCACTATGTTTTACTAGTGCTACCGTATTTGTTTTAGGCAATGTTTTTAATTATTTATATCCAAAATTTTCTTTTATTCTTAGTGGGTTTTAATTTTCATATCATCATTTGAAATTTTGTTTCGAGTATAATCGTATATATACTTTAATTTGCATTGTACTATACTAGTATCTGTACCCGTGCCGCGCACGGGATAAACGATACTTTGATACGAACTATTTGTGTGTATCCGTTTGTATTTTTATAATGAAACACTTTTTGTGATAAGATATTTATAAATGAGGACTTCTAGTGTTTGTGTGTGTCTATGATCACATATTTTTATAATTTTTACGTAATTTGAGAGAATTAGATAAATAGTTTTTTTTATTTTTTAAAAATGTTTGGAAGGTGGCCGGAAAGATATTATAATTCATCTTAAAAGCTCCATATGAAATGATACATAAAAAGATTAAAGTAAAAGTGAAAATATACCAAAATATCAATTGAATTGAAATCATTTCAATGGTCCATATTTTAATAATAATAATAATAATAATAGTAATAATAATAAAATACATATCATATCAAATTAAAGCAATCTAAATTACTTTTAAATAAAAAATCATTCAAACTGAAAACATTGCTATAATTTTGAGATCAATGGCATAGTACAAAAGTGCATTTACCAAATTATAACACCTATAGTGTTGGTGCTTTAACAATCCTTGTTCACTTTCTTTCAAAATATATTTATAATGATTTATGTGGTTACTCCAAATCTCTACAAATACTACGTACAATTCTATTTTTAGACGGATTAATTATTACGGAGCACTCCACCATAATTTTATTTTAGTGTACTTGTTAGAGTAAACTGATTTTCCTTTAGAAAAGATTAAATAATTTTGAAGGGCCACTTTTCCAGCCACATGCCGTGCGGCCGTGCCGTCCTCATCCCCATCTCACCTTCTACCGAATACGCCGCATCTATTTTCATTTCACCTATATACTACAATCTTCCAACTTATTTTTTGTTTTATCATATATCGATCTGAATCCATAGGTTTCTAATTTCATTTCTACATTATTCTACTGGGAATTGGTTTAGAATATCCACATCCTTATTTAAAGATTTGGCTCTACTTCTAAGGACAATCATCTTCACAGTCCTCCTTTCCCGTTCTCGGTAATCCTGGTTTCTTCTATTTTCTTTTTGCTCAACAATCTCATTGAGAAGTTTGTGGGTCAGAGCTATTAAACACAACTTATCTTTAATTTGAAACATTGACTTATAGAGTTAAATGAACTCAGTAGGGGTGGCCCTAGGGGAGATCAAATGCCCTAAGCCCTACACAATGAAAAAAGTCATACCCATGAATCCATGATAAGTTTTCTTTATAATAAGTGTGAGTAGCCTGATTTTTCAATCCTAAACTAATAATTTATAGGGTGAATATTTTTAGGTTCTTCTGGGTGAATTTTTATACGAAATTTTATGAAAACGTTCTCTATGAAATGTAAATTATGTCCATAATTTTAGTTTAAAGTTCAATCTAGAAGTCAATTGAATAAATTATTTAAAACTGCTGTGTTTTTATGCATATTTTGGTGTAGTGTTTTTCAATAATTTGTTTAACTGACTTTCCGATTGAATTTTAAGATGAAGTTTTGTAGATACAATCTAAATTTGATGCCAATCATGCTCACAAAATTTTGTAAAAAGAAATCCACTTGGAAGCATATTTGTCAGATATGATTGTTTGATTGGTTTATTAACCAATTTCATTCATACAAAATTGTTTGATTTCTTTATTTTTTATTGTATCTATTAATTGTTGTTGTTTTAATTTGTTGATTTTGTTAGACAATTGTTTTTTTACTATAATCAAATTTATAAATTTAATTAATTTCAAGGTGTAATAGAAATGATTGAATCTGGATAGGATAACGAAAAGAGAGAGGAGATGATTAGAGAAAACGGTACTAAGTAAATAATTGAATGGAAAAGTTTGTATAAGGAAGTCAAATTATGAATGTCCTCCTCAAGATGAGAACTCAGAAAAGAAGAATGGTATAACTCAGAATGAAACGGCTCAGAGTGATCACATCATTGATGGGAGAATTTTAGGAGTCGATAATAACCAAGCTAATTCCTTAAAATAGGACTAACACACGAGTAAAGTGCACAAATATGACCACCATTTTTTCTTTCCTAAATAAGAACAACCAATATTAAAATATTATTGATTTAGACAGAAGATAGTTTTAATCTGTTGTATAAATGTATTGAAATATTATTTTTATTGTGCATGTTATTAGTTTAGACATAAAATGATTTTACATTTTCTTAAGATTAGGCCCATTTTAACTCGTCGTTCCTAGGCCTTCAATCATAGAGGACCGGCCCTAGAACTCCGTGCATAAATTCATACATGAATAAAATTCATATTCATGATTTTGAATTGTTTTTAAGATTTGTTTTTTTCAATTAGATCGTTATCAATAAATTTTCTTTTGAGGTTTCCTGTATAAATTTTTAAGTCCATTTTTGCATTTTTGCACTTTCTTAGTCAATAGTGCTCAAGTTTGACCAATGAAATATGAAAATTATGAGCCCGTTTGGTGAGCATGTTTTTTGGCTTGTTAGGCTTATAGCAAACTTTTTTTTATCAAACACGTAACTTTTGATTTTGCACGCTGAAATGCGTAATAATACGAAAAAGTAAGACTGAAGTTACTTTTCTGGCTATATTAGCTGAAGTTACTATAGATTGCCATTTAACTATTTTTCAAATAATTTTTCATTAAATTATTAGTAAAATAATTTCCCAGCAACTTCAGCCAAAATTTTATAAATTTCAGCAGAATCGGCTGATGTAGCCAATTTTGGTATTACCAACCGGGCACTATATGAGCTTATTCTTTATTTAAAAATCTTTGGTAAGAGTAAAAATTATAAATTACACACAAATATAATACCTAAAAATCATTGTCTAAACTTTAACAACATTGACCATGAAAAGTCAAACTGGTTAATCTTTTTTTGATGAAGGGAGTTTTTTTTTTGTTTCTAGTTTTTTTTTAATCTCAGGGGGGCGTTGGGGGAGGGGGTTTGGGGAGCTTGGGATAAACTGGGTTCAATCTCACTCCATTGAAAATTAAAACTGGGAACTCCCATAAGGATTTAAAATACAATTGTTACAAAAAAATATCAAAACTCATAACTTTTTATTATCTTTTATATTTTACAAATATTGAATATATAAAAATGAAAAATAATTTTACACTTTAAAGCTTCAGTTTTTTAAGTGCTAGAATTTTTTTATACTACGATTGTTACAAAAAATATATTAGAATTCCTGAAAATTTTATTACTTTTCATAGGACTTCAATGTTTCATATATAAATAAAATCTATTAATATGTGCGGTTTACGATCGTTTTTTACCATGCACACTATTAATCGGAGTGATAGCTTAGAATAAAATAGCGCATATTCTACCACTAAGAATAAAACAATAAATAAAAATGATGGAATTTGTGCGGTTTTATTCTAAGGTATTGGTCCTCATTAATTGTGTGTACAGTAAAAAACGATCTAAATTGCCAAAAATTAATAAAATTATTACTTTTATATATGCAATATTGGTGTCATATGAAAGATAATAAAAAGTTATGGATGTTGATAATTTTTTTGTAACAATCGGACTACAAATAAAAAAAATATATCACATTAAAATAAATATGAGATTTTATTTTTTGAATTACATACCTTTAGAAAGTTTTAATTAGGTAGGATTCCAATACCTTTAGTATTAACGTAACATTAGTTCTACCATACTGAAATTACGTAAAATTAATGTAACCGAAGTACTTGTATAATTAGTATGCTAAATTTGCGATGATATATGGCAAACTTTCCATAATTATAGCTGTGAATTGTATTATACGTGACATGAGTTCAAATCTACCTTTAATACTAATTTTA